ACTCTCAGGGACTTGGTGCTTCTCTGTATCCCCTTCCGATCTCTCCTTTGTCGGGTATAGAGAGAATGTAGATGGGTCTTGGATGAGCCACCCATCCAGGGCGGGGCTAGTCTGGAACTGGTGGTGTGGTAGTGCCAACCCATGCCAGCTCACAAGGACCAGCTGTGAAATTTCAGGAATTTTGCCAAGTCAGAGGTTAATCACAGCCATTACTCTTTTTAAAGCAGATTGTGTAAATTTACAATTAGATAAATTCTATTAAAAAACAAAGGTAATAAATGTTCCAAACTCATGGCTTCTGGTAGCATTTGTACCGTCATACTGCTATTATTTCAGCAGCATGGAGAGGACCTGTCCCTGCCTCCCAGGCAGGGAAGGACTGAGTCCCTGTGGGAAAAGGGGAGGATGCCGTCTCCTCTGGGCCTCCCGCCCTCTGTGGACCAGGCCACCAGCTGCTGTCCCTCTTCACCACGTCCATTAGCCCTTTCCACCCAAGTTCTACTTTGAACTTGAAACCGGCAATAAATGTCCTCATGCCTGCGTCTAAGAAAGGACCAGCTGCTCCTGTGAGGTGTGAGTCTGTCGCTGCCTCGGGGGGCTGCTGAGACCATTGCTGCTCCTCCGTGCAGGAACCTGGAGGGAGCTGGGCCCTGGTCCTGGCTTCAGGGAGCTTCTGGAGCCTCAGAGCCGGGAGGGTGGGGCCGGGCCCGAGAGCTTGCGTACTCACAGCAGCTCCTCCAGGAGAGATGGGGGCCATAGACTGTCAGTGCTGGCCGGGTCTCTGGCTATCTGACCCAGTTCTTAGTGGTCCCATGGGGAAACTGAGGCCCAGATAAGAGAAGGGGCTTGGCCAGGCCTAGCCAGCGTGTTACAATGGCCCCCTGGAGGGAAAGGGACTCTGTAAGGGCTTTGTTTTTTAAATGATGTTTTATTTTGTTTGTATATTTTATAGTGAGTTTTAAAAAACATTTATTGGGGGCCACTGCTCTGGGTGCGAGGAACCCGGTGCCCAGGTCCAGGGCCTCTGGAAAAAAAAATTTATTGGGGCAACATTCATAAAACCATACAGATTTCAAGTATACAACTCAACAAAATATCACCTGCAGTCTGCATTGTGTGCCATCGCCCCAGCAGTCTCTTTCTGTCCCTTCTCTCCCTTTGTCACCTCCATCTCCCCACTCCGCCCCACCCCCTTTCCTCTGGCTATCACTACACTGCTGTCTGTCTGTCTGTCTGTATATATACATAATCCCTTCACCTTTTATCCAGCCCTCTGAGCCCCCTCCCCTCTGACAGCTGTCAGTCTCTTCCATGCATCCATGCTTCTGTTCCTATTTTGTTCGCCATTTTATTTTGTCCATTAGATTCCACATAAAAGTGAGACCATGGGACACTTGTCTTCCCCTGGCTGGCTTATTTCCCTTAGCACAATGCCCTCCAGGTTCCTCCATGCTGTTGCAAAAGGTAAGCATTCCTTCTTTTTTGCCCTGGAAGGGTTTTCCCTGCCTCCCCACGTTCAGGCTGCGGAACGCTCCCCAGGGTGAGAGGGGGATGTGATGAGGGTTTGCCACAGAGGGAAGACGGGGCGAAATGCCGGAGTGCGGTTGCCACAGGCTTTGACCTGGATTTTAGCAGCTGTTGAAACAACTGGTCCCTGGGCCTGTGGCCCCTGGAAGGGGCGGGTGGGGAAGAAATATTACCTGAGGGTCGGCCTGGGCCGGGACAGCTGGGGAGGAAGACAGCTGAGTAGGCAGCCTTTTGCCAAGAATAGCTGGGTTCCTTCCGACCTGGGACTCTCTGTAAGCTGAGGACAGGTGGAGAAGGCTCTCACCTGCACCACCACCGTTCTGTTCAGTCAACGGCATCACGCAGGCCCTTGGCACGGGGAAGGGTTGTAGAAATGGGTACGGAGACGGACTGACACCTGCCAGGCGTGCGTGCCCTGCCGGGGCGTTATCGTGAGGGAGGACTCTGGGCCAGCCCCGCTGGGCCCAACTCCTGCCTGGGCAACATTGGGCAAGTCCCATAACCTCTGTTCCCTCGTCTGCAAGATAAGAATGCAATGTATAGCCGAAACCAGTTTGGCTCAATGGGTAGAGCGTCGGCCTGTAGACTGAAAGGTCCCGGGTTCGATTCCGGTCAAGGACATGTAACATGGTTGCGGGCACATCCCCAGTAGGGGGTGTGCAAGAGGCAGCTGATCGATGATTCTCTCTCATCGATGTTTCTAACTCTCTATCCCTCTCTCTTCCTCTCTGTAAAAAAATCAATAAAATAAAAAAAAATTAAAAAAAAAAAAAGGAATGTAATGTAGGAAAAGTGCTCAGTCTATTGGGGCATCCACTAGGCAATTTATAAATGCTAGTTGCTGTTTTAATGACAATAACATTGACAGCTCATTGTTGATGGGCCCCACCCCATCAACAGTGTTAGGAGGGGGCTGGGGCTTCTTCCCTTCTGCCTGCTCTTCAGAGCAGCCTAGCCTCAGGGAGGTGCCTGCCTGACCCCGTGAGGAAGACAGCCATGCTGCCGGGTCCTAGGTCCCAGCAGAAGTTCTTTGTGGTTCAGGATTGTCCTAAATCCTAAATCAAGATCAGCCCAGGCACAAGGAACCAGTAGGATGGGTTTATGTCAATGTCAGGGACTCGGACCCCCCCCACCCCCTTATTTTACTCAGGGGTGGAGCCACTCGCCCAGGATCTCCAGAACCTGCCTGGAAGCCCTTCCTCTGCCTCCTGGGCCTCTTGTGGTTTTTAATTTTTTTCCTGCCCCTTAGTTTTTGTATAAGTCATTCTCATGAAAATAACAGAAGTCAGCCCTGGTGGGCACCTGTATGGACCAGGCAGGCACTGTCCCTGTTGTCACTCCACAGCCCAGAGAGAGGTGCGGGGGAGGGACACGGTGGGGCCGGGAAGCTGCCCCCTCAGCCACTGTGACCTCTGCCCCCGGATCTCGGGGGCGGGAGAGAGCCTTGGGCCCCAAACCAGGGTCCCACTCGGGGGTCTCGTCTGCATGAGAAATGGAAGGGGGCATCCTTACATACGAAGACGTAAGAGATGACATTATTACCTGATTGTAGGGAACCGCAGGGTTTAGCCAGATTCTGGACATAGGTCCCTTCAGAGGCGTCCAGGATTTGGGGTGATGGCATTCTGGGGCTGGGCCTTGTGGGCATTGTGGCTACGTTTTTTTAGATGATTTGAAAGTGGCCACACCAAGAGCCAGAGGCCTCTGGCCAGCTGCTCGGGAGCTTAGACGAAGCCCCTGCTACTCTGAGCCCGTGTCCTCAGCTTTGACGCTGGGACGACAGAACCACTTCGCAGGGTTCGCCGTGAGGGCCAGCTGAGCTGCTGCACGGCAGCCTCTGTGCACAGAGCGTCCATAGTGGGTCCGATGACTCGGATGTTAATCAAATCCGGCATTAAAGCTCCATCTCCCGGAGCCTAGCGCACAGGTGAGAGGGGTCCCTTCCCGCCTGGTCAGGACCCCTCCTGGCTGCTGGGGCCTGGGTGGCCACCGATTTCCCACCGCCGCTGCCAGTGCCCGGCGGGAGACCCTGCTTGCTTGGCCTCGTGTGTGGGGCCTGCCTTGGAATTGTGTGGCCTCCTCGTCCCGGAAGCTCTGTCCTTCAGGGTTGGCTTCCAGCCCCGCGGCAGCATCCAGCCAGGTGGAGGCCCAGGGCTCCTTGGCCTCGGATGAGGGAGGACTCAGGTTGGAGCCGCTGCCCTGTGCCCCTCCACCGGCTGCCCATGGAAAGCGGCAGAAACACCTGCTTGCCCCTGTCTCCGGCTGTGTTCCCAAGCCATCGCCTCGGGACTAGAGGAGAAGGACGAGCTCTCCTCTGCCCAATGCGTGGTCCGGCGGAGGGAGGGCGGCCCGGAGGGAGGGAGGGCGGCCCGGAGGGAGGGCGGTGGTCCGGCGGAGGGAGGGTGGCCCGGCGGAGGGAGGGCGGCCCGGCGGGAGGGAGGGCGGCCCGGCGGAGGGAGGGCGGCCCGGCGGAGGGAGGGTGGCCCAGCGGAGCGGAGGGAGGGTGGTCCGGCGGAGGGAGGGCGGCCCGGCGGGAGGGAGGCGGCCCGGCGGAGGGAGGGCGGCCCAGCGGAGCGGAGGGAGGGTGGTCCGGCGGAGGGAGGGCGGCTCGGCGGGAGGGAGGGTGGCCCGGCAGAGGAAGGGCGGTGGTCGGCCGGGAGGGAGGGCGGCTCGGCGGGAGGGAGGGCGGCCCGGCGGAGGGAGGGTGGTCCGGCGGAGCGGAGGGAGGGTGGCCCGGCGCAGGGAGGGCGGCCGGGAGAGGGGGCGGCCCGGCGCAGGGAGGGCGGCCGGGAGAGGGGGCGGCCCGGCGGAGGGAGGCGGCCCGGCGGAGGGAGGGGCAGCCTCTGGGGCCTTGAGGTGCAAAGAGGAAGGCTTTCGGAGGTCTCACCTTCCCAGGAGCCACACACACACAGAGCGTGGTGGGGCCAGCTCTGCTCTGTCCGTTCCTGAGTGGCCTTGAGCAAGTTGCTTCCCTTCCCTTCCCTCCCAGTCTGAGTCCCATCTCTGCTGTGTGACCTTGGGCAAGGCCTTTGCCTCTCTCAGCCTCAGGGCCCTCCTTCCTGTGAGAGGACTGGATTAGGGGGACCCAGTTCAGGCCAGAGAACCCCATGTTCAGTCCTAGGAATGAGGTTACACACTTGCTCCCTCCTCCTGCCTTCCTGCCCTCCTGCCTCCCACTTGTTCTGGTCGGCACAGCCCTGAGGCTCAGACTTGGGAAGGAGGAGGAGAGAGGGGAGGTGCAGGGGTGGAGTACGATATTTTTCCTGGCTCCTTTTGCCCCCAAACGTCTGTGGCTATGGCCAGCTGTCAAGGAATAGCCTTTTGCTGGGGCACAGAGTCCGTGAAGAATGAGTGGACCTGCCCAAGCCCTCACTGCCAACCGCACCTGCCTCAGTTTCCCCATCAGGTAACCCGAACTGGCCCCTTCCAGCTTTCCCTCAGCCCTAACCGCTGCCTCTCTCCTCCCTCCCCAGGCTCCCCCCTGCACAAGCAGGCCTCGGGACCCTCTGCGGCCGCGCCCGTCGCCCCCGAGAAGCCCGGCCCCAAGGCCGCCGAGGTGGGCGATGACTTCCTGGGGGACTTCGAGGTGGGCGAGCGGGTGTGGGTGAACGGCGTGAAGCCGGGCGTGGTGCAGTACCTGGGCGAGACGCAGTTCGCGCCCGGCCAGTGGGCCGGCGTGGTGCTGGACGAGCCCGTGGGCAAGAACGACGGCGCCGTGGGCGGCGTGCGCTACTTCGAGTGCCCGGCGCTGCAGGGCATCTTCACGCGGCCCTCCAAGCTCACCCGGCAGCCCACGGCCGAGGGCTCGGGCAGCGACACCCACTCGGTGGAGTCGCTGACGGCGCAGAACCTGTCCCTGCACTCGGGCACGGCCACGCCCCCGCTGACCAGCCGCGTCATCCCGCTGCGGGAGAGCGTCCTCAACAGCTCCGTCAAGACCGGCAACGAGTCGGGCTCCAACCTCTCCGACAGCGGCTCCGTGAAGCGGGGCGACAAGGACCTGCGCCTGGGAGACCGCGTGCTGGTGAGTCCCTCCCCCCGCACCCCCACCCCCGCTGCTGCACCCCGCCGGGCGAGCTGGAACAAGGGGGCGGGCAGGGAGTGGGCGCAAGAGGCTTGGGTGAGCCGAAGCCGGTTTGGCTCAGTGGATAGAGCGTTGGCCTGCGGACTGAAAGGTCCCAGGTTCGATTCCGGTCAAGGGCATGTACTTTGTTTATAAGCACATCCCCAGTAAGGGGTGTGCAGGAGGCAGCTATTTGATGTTTCTCTCACATCAATGTTTCTAACTCTCTATCCCTCTCTCTTCCTCTCTGTAAAAAATCAATGAAATATATTAAAAACACACACACACACACACACACAAAAAAAAAAAACCAAAAAAAAAAAACCAGAGGCTCAGGTGGGGTCCCGGCTGGGTCACCCCCTCCTTGTAGAACCACACAGAAGGACCGGGGAGACGGGTTAATGGGCTCTGCAGGCGGTCGCTGCAGTGACCCTGGGCAGGTGTCTTCACCTTTCTGGGCCTCGGTCTTCTCATCTATAAAATGGGAATTTTAATAGTGCCTTCTTCATAAGTTGAAATGCATTGATATGTATAATGCCTTTAGATGGTTGGTGCCTATACTTAGTAAGTGCCCCCATCACGTTAGCTATTATTGGTGCTATCCTTTGATCTGGGCCGCCACCATGGATGTGCCAGGCCTATGCTGAAATGGCCAGGGACTAGAGTGCTCAAGGTCCCTGGCCCAGGGACAGGTGGTTGGCTCAGACATCTAAGAGTAATCGCTGCTGCTGTGGAGGAGAGAATTGGGTCACAAGAGCCAAGGGGCTCTCCAGGTAAATCTGCCTGCCGGGGTGCCTCTTCTCCGGCACTCCCAGCCGCTGGGGCAGGGGGAGGAGGGGCAGTGGCCCTCAGGTCCTTCAGAGTCCGGCTTCATCCTTCCATAGTGTGACTGTGGGAGTGTTTTCCTGGTACCTGCTGTGAGCCAGACCTGGGCTGGGGGTGGCAAGGTACACAGGAGAGGGCCACGGCCTGCTGTGCCAAACCCAGGACCCAGGTGGCTCCGGGCTGACCGTGTCCTTTGAGAACCATGGCTTTGGGCAGGTGGGAATCACACCGTGCGAGGAGGCTGGCTCAGCGCCTTCTGCTTCTCCCAAGCAAACAGCATCTGGTCCAACCTCAGGTGTCGCTGCCGTGTCACCATCCCAGAGTCCCAAACCCAGACTTCCCATCGCCTGGATATGGAAACAGGAAGCACTTCATAACTGCTTTTCCAAACACTAAAGCCATGTATTTTTAACATCCTACAACTTTCTAATATAGTGTGGCTTTCTTTTACCAGCCCCCCAAATATCAAACTTTTTATATGAATGTAGCAATGAAAAAGAGATAATTTCTTAAAAAAAAATTACCCGAAGGGTGTCGGGCAGGCCTGGGGTCTGAGGAGTCAAGGACAGGTCTCAGCTGGTGGAGGGAGTGGTTCCTGTGCTCAGGCAGGTGGGGCAGAGCGGAGGGGTTTCCCACCCCAAGGTGGGGAGCACATGCTCGGAGCCCTAAGGCTGAGCGGGGAAGGGTTTGGCGGACTCTGGAGTCCCAATGTGGGGATCCCCACAAGTTCTCCCTGCCTGGGATCCTCCCTCCCCATTCCAGACCTCACACAGGGCCATGGTTTCTCCTGGAGGCTTCTGGGAAGAACATTTGGGTTGGAATGAGAGGAAATGCTTCTACCCATTGCCCCATTGAAACCTCAAGCCTCCATCAGACCTGGCAGCAGTAGCAGCAGACGCCCCATTGACTCCCTGACCCACGAGGGCTGAGTCCTCACTTTGAGACACTGCTTTCTTGGGGGTGTACCCCATGCTGGGCACCTGCTAGCACTTTCTTTTTCTTTTCTTTTTTTAAAAAAAATATACTTTATTGATTTTTTACAGAGAGGAAGGGAGAGAGATAGAGAGCTAGAAATGTCGATGAGAGAGAAACATCGACCATCTGCCTCTTGCACAACCCCTACCGGGGATGTGCCCGCAACCAACGTACATGCCCTTGACCGGAATTGAACCTGGGACCCTTCAGTCCACAGACCGATGCTCTACCACTGAGCCAAACCGGTTTCGGCATGCTAGCACTTTCTGTACATTGTCCCTGTGGGTCCTCCCCTCTACCTGACGAGGTAAGGGTTATCCTCCCTCCCTCCCGTTTTATAGATGAGGAAACTGGGCTCAGCCTGGGAAACAGCCTCCCCAGGACTCACAGCCAGGAGTGATGGGCCGTTCATCCCTTTATTCACTCACCAGCTGTGTCTGCCTGGAGGCCCTTGGGGTCTGGGCGGGGGAGAAGAATCTGAATGAGGGGGTTGTTTCTATCATAAGGATCGGACCTCACCTGCCCCCCACCCCACCCTCGCCTGCAGCTTTCCTTGGCTTAATCCTCCTGGCTGGTCCAGCACTGCCAGGACCCAGCTGGCTTGCTGACCATGGACCTTGCTTTTCTCCCCTGGACTTGCTGTGAACATCTGACACCTCTCCCTCCAGCCTCTATCCCACCCTTAAAAAATAATATCCTGGACAGGGGTGACTGTAGAGGCCCGAACCTATACAATTTGAGGACAAGGAACTCTAGGAAAAACTATATGAGGAAATACTGCTTTTGCAAATTTTATAAATCATGTGATTCCCATGAAAGCATTGTCAGGGCCTTGGAAGAGGCCAGTGCAGGTGAGGGTCCCTGATGCCTACGCTGTTCGCTTCACCAACCACAAGTCCGCTCTGCCCTGGGTCAAAGGCGTGAGCTGTGTTCATTATTTATGAACGTTAAGTAACGGTATTTATGCTTATTAAATTGTGCTGCCCTTTAAAGATACCCCTGGGTCCAGGTTTCATTTGGGCCTCAACACTACCCCATAAGGTATAAGTACTAGATACGTAATCATGGGCAAGTTATTTATCCTCTCTGCCTCAGTTTCTTTGACTGCAAAATGGGGATAATAGTTTATCTGTCTTGCGTGGCTCTGTGTAACCTCTGTTACATGCTAGCTTTTGTCAGCATTAAAGTCCGTGTTGGGCCTGTCCGGTGTGGCTCAGTGGCTTAGTGTCAACCCACGAACCAGGAAGTCACGGTTCGATTCCTGATCAGGGCAAATGCTCTGATTTGTGTCCCTCTTCCTGCCAGCCCCTGGCAGCCGCCATTTGAAACACTCATTTTAAGGGTAAAATGGATTGAGACTCTAGCACATACTCACACATAGCACTCGGCCCTCACAAAACCCCTTTTCATAGATGAAGATGCTGACGCTCAGAGGTTAGGTAACTTGCTCAAGCTCACACTGCAGCGTTAAAATGCAGGTCTATCTGTCCGTCTCTACGCTCTTGCCCAGGGCAGCCCTGAGAAGACCTGGTTACACCTGTGTCCTTCCTCAACCCGGCTCTCCTCTCCCCTGCACGTTGGGAAGGAGGGGTGGGGTGTGAGCCTGGCTCCTGGGTCCCTGCACCAGGTGCCCACTGTGTGCTCTAGCCCTGCGTCTCTCTGTGTGCCCACAGGTTGGCGGGACAAAGACTGGCGTGGTGCGGTATGTGGGAGAGACGGACTTCGCCAAGGGCGAGTGGTGTGGCGTGGAGCTGGACGAGCCCCTCGGGAAGAACGATGGGGCAGTGGCGGGCACCAGGTACGGTGGGCTTCCCCCGGGCGTGGGGGAGGGGGCTGGTCTTTGCCTGGGATGGGTGCTGTGGACAAGGATGGGGCGTCTGAGGAAGCCAGCGTTGAGTGTGTGGGTGGCTGTGCCAGATACCACAGTGTAGACGCTGCCTCCGTCCTCCTGTCACAGCAGTGTGCGGGGCAGATGGTGGGGCTGTCATCCCCATTTTACAGATGAGAGAACGGAGGCCAGAGAGGTCATTGCTCAAGGTCACACAGAGTCAGGGGCAAACGCTAGGAGAAGCAGTGGTCCCTGCCTCCCTGGATTTTTCTGGACAACACCAGAAACCGGACAGTGAGCTCTGCCGTCAAGGGTGTAGTCACAACTGGTCTGGGCTCCATGCCATTCCCAATTAAAGGGAATTTCCTGTGGGGAATGCTGGGTTTGAGGGTCTAAGACTGTGTCTCAGTCATTGGAGACGGGATTGGGTGATACAGTGGGTGAGACTAGATGGCCTCGGTCCTGCACTGGCTGTGCCTGGTTTAGCTCCTGAGGCCCAGATGAGTCTGTGGCAGCTCGGAGAAGGAAGGTGTGCTAGGCTGGGGGACAGCTGAGCAAAGACCTTAACGTAGGAAGAGGAGGGGTGGAGTGGTCGTTTCAAAGTGAGTCAGAAACCGGACAGAATAGCTCGCCTGGTCCGGTGTAGAACCCTTCACCGGAGAGATTCCAAGAGATCACCCAGAGTTTCTGTAACAATACTCTGCCTTCCTGTTTTCAAGACCGATATTTCTCTCAGCTTACTCTGCTTTCTGACCTCAGGGGCATGGTGGGTGGCAGCCCCTCCCCCAACACACACACATTGTCTCCCTCACACTTTTGCTTCTTCATTTATGGCAGAGAGCTGATGGGGTTCTGAGGGACTGGGGTGGACCAGGGGCAGCCATGAGAGTGGGGCTGCAGAGATGCCTGGTGGCCTCTGAGTGGTGTGTGGGAGTGAAGCATAGTCCACTTTGGAGCCCAGCAGGCTAGAAGTTCCAGGCCCAGCATTGCCTCTTGACCAGCTGTGTGACTGTGACCAAGTTACTTAACCTCTCTGAACCCAAGTCTCTTCACCGGTGACATGTAGACAACAGCAGAGTGGTCGGGGACTTAAAAAGAGCATCAAGAAAAGGGCCTGAGGCAGAGCATGTGCTCAGTAATTGTTATTTGCCTGCCTCCCCCCAGATGTGCCCAACAGCTGTTCCCAAACCCTCATACATACACTAGACACCCCTCCCCAGCTCCAGCTGTTCACAGCTGCAGAGAATCTCAGGCCCTACTTACTCTGATCCCTTCCTGGGAGTCTTTTCTATGGCTCTTGGAATGTGGGTGTTTGGACCCCAAGAAGGAGCCTCTCTGCTGGGTTCTGAGGAGGAGGGGGAGGCAGGTGAAGCTCCCGGATATACAGCCATGATGCCCGCATGGGCCCCTCTTGCTTCCCCAGGTACTTCCAGTGCCCACCCAAGTTCGGCCTCTTCGCGCCCATCCACAAGGTGATCCGCATCGGCTTCCCGTCCACCAGCCCCGCCAAGGCCAAGAAGACCAAGCGCATGGCCATGGGTGTCTCGGCGCTGACCCACAGCCCCAGCAGCTCCTCCATCAGCTCCGTCAGCTCCGTGGCTTCCTCCGTGGGCGGCCGGCCCAGCCGCAGCGGCCTGGTGAGGGCGGGGCTGGGGAGGGGGGTCCTGGTGTGCGTATGGGGATTGAGGACAGAGGGATCCGGGTGCCCCTGACCTGCACTAGCGCCAGGCATCCTCCGAGGGGAGCTTTTGAGGAAGGATGAAAGCGCCTATCTTTCAACAAGGGAAATGGATCCACTTACACGATTGTCATTTTTGCATTACTGATGTGTCAGGAGCCTGAGCCTTTCCTGGGAGTTGAGGGTCATACAGATGCAGGGCAGGCCACACAGGTGCAGGTTTCAGAAAGGTCGCCACAGGCGTCCTGGAGGAGGGGAAAGGCGAGGCTGTCCGTCCTTCCGGGCAGCGAGCTGCTGTCCAAGCTCAGTCTAGGATGAAAGGTTCCTCCTGACCCAGGAGAGGGTGACCCCGGCGAGGGAGCCTACATGAGGCAGAGCCCCAGCTGTGAGGGGGGCGTTTCCTGAATCTGAAATCATACGCTTCCACCCGCACAAGTAGGCAGGGGCACTAGCAGGGGAGGAGCAGGACCCTGGGAGTCCAGGCCCGTGGGCCCCCACCGGCCGGGGAGCTGCGGGCTATCTGGGCGGCGCTCAGATCCCTGAGTCCTGCCTGCACCCATGCCCTCCTGCAGCTCACGGAGACCTCGTCACGCTACGCCCGCAAGATCTCTGGCACGACTGCCTTGCAAGAGGCACTGAAGGAGAAGCAGCAGCACATCGAGCAGCTGCTGGCTGAGCGGGACCTGGAGCGGGCGGAGGTGGCCAAGGCCACCAGCCACATCTGCGAGGTGGAGAAGGAGATCGCCCTGCTCAAGGCTCAGCATGAGCAGGTGGGTGAGCAGGCAGGGCAGCGGGCACCCTGAGGGGCACCAGCAGTCTCCCCAGGCCAGGCCCATAGGTCACTCACACCCAGAGTGCAGACCATGGAGGCGCAGAGAGACGCCTCCTCCGACTGGCAGAAGTCCTTCGTGGATAGATACGTTCACACATTCTCAGAAGCTGGATGTAGTCCGGTCGGTGTGTCTCAGGGGTTGAGTGTGGAGCCCTGAGAGGTCACGGTTCGATTCCCGGTCAGGGCACATGCCTGGGTTGTGGGCTTGATCCCCAGCAGCGGTTGTACAGGAGGCAGCTGATCAGTGTTGTTCTTTCTCTCTCATTGATGTTTCTATCTCTTCCTTCCTCCCTCTCTAAAAATAAATAAGAACATCTTTTTAAAAAAAAAAAAAAAGTTAAGAAAAAAGAACCTGGAAACAAACTGTCCCCTGCTTTTTCCTACCTCCTCAGTGCGAGCGTTTCCTCCGTCATGGAAAATCCTTCCGCAGCTGAGCAGCTGCATTGCCGTCTGACACGGGCTGCGTCCCTGCTGATGCAGCTGATCCCCTGCTATTGTTTAAATTGTTTCCCATTTCTCACTTTCTCAGAATAATGCTCGTGTGCACATTTTGTGTGTGTGCCTGTCCTCGTTTCAGACGGAACCTTCTAGCAGATTCCTGGGTTGGGCTTCAGGGAAGTAATCCCCTGCCCACAGCCTGTCGCATGTCTACTCCTCCCTGTTTGTCACCTGCACGAGAGCCCCCTCCCGGGCCCCGGCCCCCATGTGGGGCCAGCTCACCCCTCTCTGGGGTGCTGGAATTAATAAGGCCAAGTTCAGCCCTAGCCAGTTTGGCTTCGTGCATGGAGCATTGGCCTGCAGACAGTAGGGTCCTGGGTTCGATTCTGGCCAAGGGCACATGCCCAGATTGCAGGTTTGATCCCCAATAGGGGGTGTGCAGGAGGCAGCCAATCAATGATTCTCTCTTATCTTTGATGTTGCTCTCTCTCTCTCCCTTCCTCTCTGAAATCAATAAAAATGTATTTTAAAATAAAATAAAAAAGCCAAGCTCATGCGTGTGCTGTGGCAGGGGCCTTCACAAGGCAATGTATTTTAGGCCCTTGGAGGTTGGGGAGGTGGCAGATATGGGGGTGCTAGTTATGGGGGCAGGTGGACTTGAGGTTCCCACTGGGTGAGGCCGCAGCTGGGCCTACCCCTCACATCAGGCCCACAGCCCGGGCTCACCTCAGGCTGGCAGGGGAGCAGGAGTGGCTGGGGTTCCAGACCTGACTCCTCACACCATCCCTGCTACCTCCTACCCTCCCCCCCTTGGCCCCCAGCCCCCAGAAGGAGGCTGACCCTGTCCTGCCCTTGCCGGGGGCCCAGTATGTTGCAGAAGCGGAGGAGAAGCTGCAGCGGGCCCGGCTGCTGGTGGAGAGCGTGCGGAAGGAGAAGGTAGACCTGTCCAACCAGCTGGAGGAGGAGCGGAGGTAGGTGCCGCCCCTGCCCGGGTCCTGGGAGCACATGTTCCCCGCGCCTCACTCAGAGGAGGATCCAGGTCCAAATCCTGCCTCCACCACCTGCAGGCTGTGTCACCTGGACTAGTGACGTGAGCTCTATGGGCCTCAGTCTCCTCATCTGGAAGGTGGCGGTGGGCTGGGGATCCCCATGTCTACACGCTGTTGGGAGGACTTACACGATCATGCCAGCAAAACACCCGGCAGGGTGCCGAACACATGGGAACACTGTCCTTCCCACCTGGCGGGGCTCACTGTTCCTGCCCCACGCGGCTCAGGAAGCCTGTCATGAGGAGAATGCCCCGTGGAGGGCATGGCTTTCATGCCCTGTGCCTCTAGGGAGATGTGCACCATGAGGAAGCCCAGTGCTCTCACCCCCTGAACCAGCTCAGGTCCGTGGAGCACCCTCTGGGCCAGCTCCTGTCCAGAAGCTGTTCCCATTTCCCCTGTCAGGAAACTGAGGCTTACAGAAGCAGCCGCAAAGGGAGGCTTGAAACACCTCACACCTGGTGTCAGCCCCATGCTGAGTGCGGTACTTGTACCGTCTCAGCCTTACCAATAGCCTAGGCAGGTATTAAGAGATGAGAAACTGAGGCTCAGGGCAGGGGAGGGACCTGTCCCAGGCCACCAGCCTGTTCATTGTTCGCTGGTTCTTTCTGCCTGGGTGCGGTGGCTAGTGGGGCTGTGGTTTCCGTTCTGTGGGTGCCCTGGCCTCGCTGGGTCCTGAGTCCCCTGGAGGACAGGGTTCCCCTTGGCCCAGCAGCCCCTCTGTCTCCTGGCTGACACAGATTTCCGTGGCTTCCTTCCCTCCCCCGTGGAGAAGGCAGCCCCCCACCACGGGTCTGTTTGGGGGCTCTCAGCCAAGCACGTGCCCACAGACTGTCACCATCTGACTGGGGAGGGGAGAGCTTACTGACATCTGCCAGAGCCCACACATCTGGTTCCCGTGGCAGCGCCTGCTTGCCTAAAAACAAAAACAGGCCTTGAAGGCATTGTGGGGTTCGTGGGGTTCAGGAAGGGTCTGGGTTCAGTCCCGGCCTTGCCCTGGGTGAGCCTGGGCAGGCCACTGGCCCTTTCTGGGCCTCCGTTTTCCTCCCGTATGTGCTGGGAGCTGGGAGAAGCCCCGTAAGAGCAGCGTAGTGAGCGGTAATGTGCCTGTGTCTCCCTGTGGTGTCTGCACGTGGGTGAGTGACTGTGTCTCCCTGAGGGTGGTGCCCCCCAGATCAGGGAGCAGTGGGGATTGGGACTCTAGCCCCCAATTATGGGGCCTGTGAACGAGTGTGGGTCAGCAGGGAAAAGCCTACCCTCCTGCCCTGCCTTCCCCGCCACCTCACCTCCCACCCTCCACTGTTCCAGGTGGCAGTGTCTGTCCCCTGCAGTGATGGTCACTAGCATCACTCTGTGTTAATTTATTCCCACGGCCACCCTGGGGAGGGGGGAGGTGGCATTAAGCGCTCCCATTTCGGGGAAGTCGGTGTCTGCGTGGAGCACAGGCCAGGAAGCTGGGAGGGCTGGAGGTTTGCAGGAGGTTCTGCCCCCTCAGCCGTGTGGCTCTGGGCACCTTCTGTGTGGTCTGACCTCAGACTCTGGGCCATCTGTGGCCTCACCTCTGTCATTGCTGACTCGGGGAGGCCCACCTGTCTGGGCAAAGCCTGTTTCAGCTCCCTCTCCCCCCACAGGAAGGTGGAGGACCTGCAGTTCCGAGTGGAGGAGGAGTCCATCACCAAGGGAGACCTGGAGGTAACAGTCAAAGGCACCACCCTGGCTTGCTTGGCACCCACGCCCAGCACTTGTGGGGCAGATGGCCAGGAGGTCCAGACAGCAATTCCGGGCCCCCTCGGAGGGGCTCTGGGGGGTTTGAGGGAGAAATGAAGAAGGGTCAAAGGTCGTACTCTGGGGGAGCGGGGAGGGGGTTGGTCCCGGGAGACTCAGATGTCACAGGTGGGAGTGGCTCAGCTCCAGGACCCTGAGGGGCCATGCTTGCTGTGTTGGCCACTGGGTGGGACGGACCAGGGCATCCACAGGGTGGGGCCTGAGGACATATTGGCTGGATTCCCCAGTCCCTGCATTGTTGGGTAATAGCCCTAAAGGTGACACTTGGGCTCTTAGTTCATCTTAGATTCCAGGTAAAAATTTGGCTAAAATCAGCTTGTTGTTGAGTCACAGGAATTGTAGATGGGAGAACAGACTCACAAAGGCACATGGACTTCCCCAGTAATAGAGCAAGTCAGCAGCCCTGGGACCAGGGGCCAGGACTCCTGACCCCCAAGGGCAGCCGGAGAGGATGGCCAGTTACAGCACCTCCTTGTTATGACGCCTGGACACGTGGTCTAGACATAGGTGGACCTTGCACTCTTCAACCCGATCCACCCTTTCCACGCTGAGGGATGGGGCTTTTCACGTCAATTAGTAAAGCACCCCACCCCAGCCCTCCTCACGAAACCATGCAGACACCACAGCGCGTCCAGTCCCTCCCCACAGGCCGAGCTGCCCCACCTGGCCTCGGGCAGTCTCTTCCCTTCCTGAGCCTCAGTTTGCTCCGCTGTAAAATGAAGAGGTCGGACTAGGTCCGTGAGTCTCAAACGTGAGATTCATCCCCTGGGTGGCTTGTTCAGACACAGAAGGCCGGCCCAGCCCCATTCCACTGGTCTGGGTGGGACTTGAGATGTCTAACAAGCTCCCGGTGATCTGTAGGGTCCCACTTCGGGAATCACTGCACTGGGTCATGCTGAGCTCAGGTTGGAAGTTGCAGCTTCTGGTTTTGTAAAAGAGCCATAGTAAGACCCTTATAAGTTCCGGTGCATAGCAAAAGTGTGCGAATGGTTGTCTGTCCCCTAGATGACTCCACCGTGAAGGGACATGTATGATCTGCATAGGGTCACTGCCAGCTGCCCCTGTTGGGGCAGATTTTCCTTCTCATGCTTAAAGGATGGATGTCAGGGATGATGTGGTGTAGGAGCCCCAGGCCAGCGTCAGGTGTTCTCAGGATGTTTCCCTCTTAGCCAAGGGGCAGTTATGTGGTTATGTGCTTTGGCTGGCTTTTCCACTGGATGCCTGCCTCCTGCAGTTGAGGAAGCTTCTTCGCCGGTTAAGTAATAATAAAAATGTGCCAGGCGTGGCTGTGTGCTTTGGAGGGGGTGACATGGTCCCTGTGAGGAGAAGGAAATGAGCCGCAGGTCCTACAGGCCGGGCTCCCGGACAGGGATCTCAGCAGCCTCCTTCACTGCTCCCATTGCTGACAGAAACCCCGCCTCACCTCGCAGTCCAGCTGGTCCGGGGAAGGCGCCCGCCCTGGGGTCCAGCGGCCTGAGCCTGGACCTTGTGCTGCCCGAAGTTGTGCGATTCTGAGCAGAGGCTTGTCTGCTTGGAGTGGCCTCTCTCCCGCAGGAGGGGAGACAGCCTTGATGGTGGTTCTGAGAACATTAACACCAGGGGACCTGACAGGGACTGATACAAGAGAGTGGTGGCCCCCAAAGGCCCTGGGCAGCGTCCCTGGAGCAGGATGGAAGGCCAGACCACCCACCCCACCTAAAATCTAGCCACCTAAAATCTAGCCACCTAAAATCTAGCCACCTAAAATCTAGCTCCTATTAGTACATCGAATTTACCCTAATTAATCGAGCTCCAGAGCAATCCCACTGAGCTCCCTGTGCCCCACAAAGACCCCAGCCCATGGACCAGGGGCTGGACGTTCTGAAGGTGATGGAGAAGAGTCCTCCTGGGGGACACCACATGAAATTGCCCTTAACATTGTAACGCTCGGGGCTTTTTCTTGCCTGTGGGGCCACCAGCGGGGCCACCAGGAGGGCATTTATGATCCTGCTCCGTCTAGCCTGGTTCTCGGGTGGGACATGGCCTGCGAGGCTGAGATGAGGCACCATTATCAGCCTGTGATTTTTCAGAAAGAGACTGAGCGCAGCTACTTGTTAGGATTGCAGGATGCTGCCCTCTTGAGAGAGAAAGAGGGGACCTTTATAGTTCTTTTAGGAAATGTATAAGGTCACAGGCCAACGGACACGAACATCTCTGTAGTTCTTGATGAACCACAAACGTATTTCAGGGACGGGAGGTATTGGTTTACACCGTTGCCATCAGCCTTGCTGGTGTCCGGTGTGTATTCTTTTTACAAATAACGTGCTACCTTGCTGAGCCTGCCTCTTCAGAACTGCCCCCCAGACCTGCTTTAACCTTGTTTCTCGTGGATGAGGATGGGACAGGCGGGAGGACAAGGAGGACCATGCCTCTCCCTGCCATGAACTGGCCTCCCTGCTGATCTGGGTGCTCACCGATCTGATGGGAAACCCAAATGCCAGCCTGGGGGCGCGGAGAATGCCGGGCTTTGTTAGCGTGTGGGGTGGGGGTTGTGAAGCTGGGACAGAAATGCCCTTGTGCTTTCGGGAGACTGGCCGTCTCCGCAGGCCCGGGGCGGGGTGGGGGTGGGGGGGCACTGACAGGCCGGGCTTGGGGCTGGGCGGTGGGAGGCCAGGCTGGGAGAACCATGGTGGTGTGCTCGTCCTCCATCCTGGGGGCTGTGTGAGGATCCTGGGCCTGGCCTGAAAAACAGCCCGCAGAGTCCCCGTGGGGAAGGGGAGAAGGCTGGCCCTCCCAGAGCTGCAGGGGGGGGGGGGGGGGCTTGGAGGTGACAGAGGGGCCCCGGGTGCCCGTAAGGAAACCCAGCCAGGACACGAGGGCAGGAGGCAGGCCCACCTCACCAGACCTCCTCTCTTTCCCTCAGCCACCTCCTCTCCTCGACCTGTTTTCCTGTCTTGTTCATGGTAGCTGACGCCGCCTCTCTCTCTCTCTCTCTCCTCGCCTTCCCTCTCTCTTCCTCCGGCTTCCTTTCCCTGTGCCCTCTGCCCTCTCCCTCCCGCCCCACACCCTCCCCCGGGTGGACCAGACCCAGACCCAGCTGGAGCACGCGCGCATTGGGGAGCTGGAGCAGAGCCTGCTGCTGGAGAAGGCGCAGGCCGAGCGCCTGCTCCGGGAATTAGCCGACAACAGGGTAACCGCCTGCCGCCCGCCTGCCCGCCTGCCCTCCCTCCAGCGCCTGCCCCTGGACGCCCCGGGGCTCCTCTGCGGGATGGTTTCCTCTGTCCTCGCTGCTGTCCTCATTGTTTTTCCCCTCTTGTGCCCCTTCTAGGAGGGGAGAGGAGGTCAGACACTGCCTCCACTCCCGTCTATTGGGGAGGAGGGGGCTTGGCTCTCTGGGACTTGGCTCCCCCGCGGGTCCCCCCAGCTGGGAATGTCCTGTGAGACCCTCCGCCCTCCTCCCCATGCGTTGCCATGACAAGGCTTGGTCAGGTTCAGAAACCAGGGGCCTCTCGGGAAAGGTCTGCCTCCTGCGGGCAGTCACGGAGACAGCCTACCCACGCCTCCCTCTCCCGGCTGGGAAGGTGGAGGTTGGGGCTGTAGGTCCAGGTTCTCTGGAAGACCTTACGTATGGTGGTAGGAGGGGCCCCCTGGAGGACCTGGGGCTGGGGGAGGAGGGGTGTCCCCGGACATGGGTTTCTGTGTCAGTCCAGGGTGTGGCTGCTGTGATAGGATGGGCCAGGGAGTGGTTTCTAGGCTAGGAAAAGCTCTGTTTGGAGGTGGTTCCCCCAAGTCCCAGGGCCTGGTTCCAAGTCCGGGCTCCAGGCCCAGTGGCCCCTCCACAGCCCATGCATGTCCCCGGACTGGCCCCCTGTGCAGGGACACACGTCCAAACAGCTTGCTGGCCTAGCCCAGCGGACAGTGCTGCCACCGTTCTCCTGGCAACGGCGCTATCAGCCAGCGAGCAGTGTTTGGGGGTAAACAGCATGGGGTGTGGGGTGAGCAGCCGTCAGTCTCTGCGTGTCGGCCTCAGCACCAGGGAGTGTGTGCATGGGGGGAGGTGGGTATCTGGGAGGCTCATGGCACTGCACACTAAGCGTTGCCCAGGGACCGTGTGCTTGTGCAGTACACACGCGTGTGCACAGAGGCTATGGGCAGAAACTGACCCAGTCACAGTTGACAGGCCCAGCCCTCCACACCCAGGCACCTTGAACCTCGGGCTCAACCTGATTGAAAAAACAAAAAAACAGGTTCATTGAACTAACTGGTTTGGCTCAGTGGATAGAGCGTCGGCCTGCGAACTGAAAGGTCCCAGGTTTGATTCTGGTCAAGGGCATGTACCTTGGTTGCGGGCACATCCCCAGTAGCAGCTGATCAATGTGTCTCTCTCATCGATATTTCTAGCTCTCTAGCCCTCTCTCTTCCTCTCTGTAAAAAATCATTAATACACACACACACACACACACACACACACACATATATATATATAATATATAATATATATTATATATTTTTATATTTTTTTAATCTTAAAAAAATAAAGGTCAGCTTCAGAAACAAAAATACTTAAGTTTATAACAGATTTAAAACGTTGAAGTATTTTTGTTTCCAAATCTGTGACCATTGACGTGATTGAGGCGTGGGGTTTTGGAGGCTGGAGCCTATGATCTCGGAGTTTCCCTCAGGAGGCAGGTCTGGGAGCATTAATTTTGTTCCGCGTTAGGCATTCAACCGGCCCTCCTTTGCCCACCCTCTTCAGACAGCCCCTGAGACCCCCCCCTTCCCGCTGGGGGACTTGCAAACTCCCTGTCATCTCTGCCCTTTAACAATCACGTGAACTGAAAGAAGGCCGTAGCCTCAAATAAGTGGGGTTTTTAACCACCAATCTGTCCCCCGCCTGGTGCCGTGGAGACCGTTGACTCCCTGAATCACTGGGGTGCCAGCCAGGGGGCTCTTCCCGGGAGGTGTGGTGGGCCAGGCCCCTGAGAAAAGCCACAGTTGAGTAGGAGTGGGCGCCCTTCCCTTCTCATGACCTTACCTCGCAGGGCCCGGGGCCCCTGAGTGGTGAGGAGGCCCCCGCACCCCTGCTGCACCCCCTTGCTCTCCGGCCGGCCCGCTCACCGTCTCCCTCTCTCCCCGGCAGCTGACCACGGTGGCCGAGAAGTCGCGGGTGCTGCAGCTGGAGGAGGAGCTGAACCTGCGGCGGGGCGAGATCGAGGAGCTGCAGCAGTGCCTGCTGCAGTCCGGCCCGCCGCCCGCCGCCCACCCCGAGGCCGCCGAGACCCTGCAGCTGCGGGAGCGGCTGCTGTCGGCCAGCAAGGAGCACCAGCGGGAGAGCGGCGTGCTGCGGGACAAGTACGAGAAGGCCCTGCGGGCCTACCAGGCCGAGGTGGAGAAGCTGCGGGCCGCCAACGAGAAGTACGCCCAGGAGGTGGTGGACCTCAAGGCCAAGGTCCAGCAGGCCACCAGCGAGAACATGGGGCTCATGGACAACTGGAAGTCCAAGCTGGACTCGCTGGCCTCGGACCACCAGAAGTCCCTGGAGGACCTCAAGGCCACCCTGAACTCGGGCCCCGGCGCCCAGCAGAAGGAGATCGGGGAGCTGAAGGCCGTGATGGAGGGCATCAAGATGGAGCACCAGCTGGAGCTGGGCAACCTGCGCGCCAAGCACGACCTGGAGACGGCCGTGCACGTGAAGGAGAAGGAGGGCCTGCGGCAGAAGCTGCAGGAGGCCCAGGAGGAGCTGGCCGGGCTGCAGCAGCACTGGCGGGCCCAGCTGGAGGTGCAGGCGGGCCAGCACCGGCTGGAGCTGCAGGAGGCCCAGGACCAGCGCCGGGACGCCGAGCTGCGGGTGCACGAGCTGGAGAAGCTGGACGCGGAGTACCGGGGCCAGGCGCAGGCCATCGAGTTCCTCAAGGAGCAGATCTCCCTGGCCGAGAAGAAGATGCTGGACCATGAGCTGCTGCAGCGGTCCGAGGCCCAGAGCAGGCAGGAGGCCGACAGGCTGCGGGAGAAGCTGCTGGTCGCCGAGAACAGACTCCAGGCCGTCGAGTCCCTGTGCTCGTCCCAGCACGCCAACGTACGCAGCAGCGCCTTCTTGCAGGGCCCGTGAGCGACAGCGGCTCAGGCTTGAGAGCTGGCTGGGGAGGGCCTAGCGTTGACTGACCTCTTTTCTCAGCCCAGGGAAGCGTGCTCGTTGCCCCCAGGTTCATGTCCATTGAGATGTGGGGCACTAGGCTCAGAGGAGGGAGCCTCTCGTCCCTCTGTGAGATGGGCAGCCGGCCCGGTGACTGTGGGGACCCACAGTGGTCTGAGCTGACCTGGCTGGGTCCCCCACAGACCAGGCCTGGAAAGAGATGTACCTCAGGGCAGAGAATAGGCTTCCTCCAAGTCCCCAAGTCCCTATGTGCCCACACGTGTCCTGCTGAGAGTCCCCTGTGCCGTGTGCTGGCCTTGATGTGGACAAGCCCTGCCCATCCCCAGCTCCCATCTCCCCCTGGGGCGCTGACCCAGGGGACCTGGGGGCGCCCTCTTCCTGCTGGTCTTAATGAGACGAGCCACAGTCCAGTGGTCACTTCCCCAGAGTGGGGGTCCCGGGAGTGGGGTCTGGGAGGCCGGAGGGGGTGGTCCTGGGGAAGCTACTGCCACGGTCTCAGCTTTGCCCCAAGTCCGGACGTCCCGGCTGAGCACACTGGGGAGGCCCAGACGGGCTGTGTTCACTCCAGGGGGGCTGGGAAGGGCCTTTGTGTGGCTCCGGGCACCACACCTGGTGCCAGGCCCTATGCTGCCCCATTCCAACTTCGTTCCCACGAGGTCGATGCTCCATTTCATAGATGATCCAACCAAGACCTCAAGATGAGTAACCTTCCCAGGATTTCTGCCCTCCGGTGGCAGAGACGGTGCCCAGCCCTAGTGCCAGAGGGCTGCCAGAGGGCGCCCGGGAGGATAGACGTCAGGTTTGAGGTGAAGGGACAGCTAGCAGCAGGATCATTGCCTTTTTCACAGGCCCCGGGGGTTCTCAGGCTTCCAGTTCCCCCTGTATGTTTACACTAGAACTCAGCACTCCAGTAGTAAGTCCTCAGGAGGCCTGAGTGCGGGGCGCCCTCATGCCTTGAGGTGCCACGGTAGCAGCCTTCCGGCCCCCTTCTGCTAGGAAGTGCTCTCCCAGGATCCTGGGCAGAGGGGCAGGAAGAGCCCAGGTCAGCCTATGTGCATACGTCCTGATTGGCTTCTCAGGCGGGGGGTCAGGCCGGGACCCCACACATGGGCTCCCTCAGCGGGAGAGGTTTGGGGCTGCTGTAGCTCCACAGAGCATGGGGGCCAGAGGGCTAAGGGTGGCCTCCTGCTCCTCAGTCACAGTCCTCGGGTGGAGGCGTGGGTAGTGACCTCAAGAAGACCTCTCTTGACTTCTGCACCTACGGGGTCTCAGTCTGGACCCACGTGTCCACGTACAACTGGATTTTTAGTCTAATGTGATAAGCATGAGGATTTTAAAAAGATGTTTTAGCGTGTGCCTCGTTTTCCCCGCAGGGTTTGTCAATAACCATCTAGGGGCTTAGTTATCACCGGCTGAGAACAAAACGGGGCTTGGGATGTATGAGAAGAAGTATGAAGGGCAGGGTGATGGAGGCGACTGCCTGCTCTGCTCTGGGCCATCCTGATCCGCAGTGTTAGTCTCAGACACACGGCAAGCTCAGAGGACAGCCAGCTTGGACAGGAGGCCAGAGACACTTGGAGAAGGAAGCAGCAAGGAGCCAGTTGATGTTTGCCCATATTTTTTCCCCTTGATCTTTTCTTCTTCGGCTTCTGAGTTTATTATGTAGAAGAAGAAGTGGTAGAGAGACAGGAAGGAGCATTCTTGAAGTCCCTCTGGGAGCCAGCCCGGAGTATGCTCCCCGCACACCGCCCCACGGGGCGGTCAATGCTCGTTTCGTGGAGGGAAACCGAGGCTGGAATCTTGCCTCTGGATGTTGATAAGACAGATTCCCAGGACCAACCCCTGTAGGCATCCCAGGGAAGGAGACATCTTATCAATATAATAAACATTTCCAACCGAGGGAGGGGCAGGAGGCGTTCAGTGGGAGCCACCCGGCAGCCGTGGGGTGATGGGAACAGAGGAGGGTCCTCTGTGGTCAGGGGGGTCATCTCAAGGACACCTGTGCCTCCTGCCACAGCGAGTCCCCGCGGGTAGTAGGCGTGGCGTTGGCTGGGCTGGCGGGGCTGGGGCCGAGAGGGGAAGCGGGCGTCCCCCTTACAGTCCTCTTCTTTCAGATGATTGAGTCGAACGACATTTCAGGGGAGAAGATGAGGATGAAGGAGATGGTGGAGGGTGAGTGGCCCTGGGCAGGCGGGACACGGGCTTTGGGGACAAGCTGGTTGGGTCTGCCTCTGAGCTGGTGCCACTTGGTTTTGCATCACCTGCCATTTGGGGAGAGGTGCCTGCTGCACGCAGGAGCCATCACCCCGCTCGTGGGTGAGGAGGGCCGAGGCTCCGTTTGTTGAGTGCTGAGCATATCTTGTTTGTTCGGTTTTACGTTGTTTTTAAAATAGGTATAAACTAAAAATGGTTCGAAGGGCCTAAGGTGAAGGGTCCTACCCCTGTTCTCTTCCCAAAGGCACACCATGGGTCAGCGTCTGTCCCTACGCACAGAGCGTTTCTGCACATACAAGCAAATAGGGAACAGATGGCCCCTTACTTTCTTCCATTTAATAATTTGTCTTGGAGACTCTTTCTTCCTTATCTCTGCATTCTTTTTCGTGGTGCGGAGTATGCCGTTGTGTGGAGTTACCCTCATTTAGCCAGTTTCCTGCTGATGAATTGTAGGTTGTTTTTAGTCTTTGCTGCAAACACCGCTGCAGTAAATTACCTCCTCCTTGGGCTTAACCAGTTTTGACTCTCATTGGCTGTGGTTGAAAGTATGTTTCTCACCCAGCCAGTATGGCTCAGTGGTTGGGCATTGACCCATAAACTAGGAGGTCACGGCTTGATTCCCGGTCAGGGCACATGCCCAAGGTGCAGGCTTGATCCCCAGTAGGAGGCGAGCTGTTTCTAACTTTCTCCCTCTCCCTTCCTCGCTCTGAAACCAATAAAAACATTTTTTTTTTTTAAATAAGAATAAAAGTGTGTTTCCTCACCAACAATGTTTCAGCAAACTGATCTCTGCCAATCGGAAGAGTAAAAGATGTTGCCTGGTGTAATTTCCATTTAGCTTTCTCTCACTGAGAATGAAGTGCCACTTCCATGTCTCCTTGCATCCTTTATCCATTTCATTCCTATTGTTAGTGATCTTTTTGTCCATTTTCCAGGAATTCCTTATTTATGACATTGCAAACATATCCCCCAAGTTGTGGTTTGGCTTTTCTTATGATGGTATTTGCCATTTAGATTTTCTTAAATCGATCTTTCTTGGGGGTGGGGGTGGGGGCTTCTGCATTTATTAATTTATTAATTTATTAATTATCTGGTGGTTTCTTCTAGTACTTTTTAGTTCCTTATTCTAGTATGTTTAAATCTCTGATCACTCTAGAATTCATCCTTCTAGAAGGTGTGAAGTAAGGATCCATTTTAATTTTTTTCCTATAAGAGTACCCCATATTTGAAAAACTTATCTCCCCTTCTCTACTGACTTGAATGGCCAACCTTATTATTTTTAACTTTCCTTATGTAAACTGACTCTATTTCTGGATTTTCTGTTCCTTTCCAATGACCTTTCTATTTGTTCATGTGCCAATTCTATAATTTTTAAAAATCTTTTATTGATTTTTAGGAAGGGAAGGAGATAGAGAGAGAGAGAGAGAGAGAGAGAGAGAGAGAGAGAGAGATTGATGTGAGAGAGACACATCGATCGATTGCCTCTCACACTCGCCCTGACTGGGGATCGAATCCATGTTCTTCTGCTGCGGAGAATGATGCTCCAACCAACTTAGCTGCTCCGGCTATGGCCTATAATGTTTTAATTACCCAAGCTCTGTTTGGTTTTTAATTACTGGTAAGGCTACCCTTGGCTAACTCTGCTCTTTCAAAAATTCTCTTGACCATTTAAAAAAATATATTTTTTATTGCTTTTTTGCAGAGAGGAAGGGAGAAGGATAGAGTTAGAAACATCGATGAGAGAGAAACATTGATCAGCTGCCTCCTGCACACCTCCCACTGGAGATATGCCTACAACCAAGGTACATGCCCTTGCCCAGAATCGAACCTGGGACCTTTCAGTACACAGGCTGACGCTCTATCCACTGAGCCAAACCGGTTAGGGCAGCCTTTTTTTTTAATCCTCACCTAAGGACTCTTAAAGAAAGAAAGGGAGAGAGAGAGAGAGAGAGAGAGAGAGAGAGAGAGAGAGAGGTGAGAAAGACACATCGATCGGTTGTCTTTCATTCTCGCTCCAACCAGGGATCATTCCACAACCCAGGTTAAGTGCCCTGACCAAGAAGTGAACCGCAACCTCCTGGTTTATGCATCAACGCTCAACCACCTGCCACACCAGCCCGGTTTGTCTATCCAATATTGAATGCACATGACCTTGTGACATGGGCACCATTATTATCATCTCCATTTCTCACTTGGGGAAACTGAGCGTTAGGTTGCCTGAGACCTGGAGCCTTTAATTCCAAGTGAGCTACCCAGAGGGATGGGTGGCGGCCGCTGGACATGGAGTGTTAATGGCCCCCATCTCCCCCTTCTCCCCTAGGCCTGCAGGACAAGCTGAACAAGAGGGACAAAGAGGTGACAGCCTTGACGAACCAGACGGAGGCGCTCAGGGCCCAAGTAAGTGGTAAGTCTCCCTCCCGCAGGGCATACGCGGGGGCTTTCCCCCGGGCCACATGCCAGGGGAGCGTGGGGAGGGTTGGCATCTGGGTCGGGTGCCCGCCCGCACTCTGCCTTGCAGAGGAGGTGGCCGGGGCCAGTTCACCGACACTGGACTTCCCCGGGCAGCAGGGGTGGGGGAATAGCACCCCTTTCATGGTCCATGATGGACTCGGGGCCCCCAGCCAGCTCCTCTCGCCAGCGGCCACGCTGTTCTGAAATACCACCGGGGCTTTTTGGATTCTCAGGCCACTTTGATACGGTCTCTCTGCCACCCCGGCCTCTGGAAGAAATGCCAGGGCTTTAGAATCTGTGGGGAGGGCGCGGGCTGCAGCAGAGAGCAAGGCCCAGGGGACCTGAGGACAGGGGGCGCCTGGGGGAGGCAGGGCGCCTGGAATGTGTGACGTGGTGACAGACTGGCCCTGCTGCCTGTCCAACACCGTGTCAGGGGCGGTGGCCGCTCAGCGGCCCCGTGCTGGGACATGGTTCCCACCCGCCTCGCCCCAGTTCCCATCCCGTTCACAGGGCCTAGCTGGTTCCAAAAAGGTCAGCTGACTTAGTTCCTCCAAGGCTGAGGTGCAGCTAGAGCCCGTGCCTGCTCAGGCAGGAGTGACATGTCTCGGGGGAACTGCTTCCCACCACCCAGGGCCCAGGCTCTGAGCTTGGGGTCCTGGTCTGCTTCCTCCGCCCCTGGCTGCCTGGCTCTGCGGGACCGGCGAGGGCCGCTCAGTGGAGTGTGTCACTGTGAACACACTCCCCCACCCCCCATCCCCCCCCCACACACACACACATTCTCCGAGAACACGGGCTCCCTGCCTGGGCCCGGGCCCGCTGGTGGGACAGATTCCCACGGTGATCCTGCCCCCTCCTTCTTCCCTGCTGGCTGACCCTCAGCGCTGGAGAGCAAGTGCAAGTCGGGGGAGAAGAAGGTGGACGTCCTGCAGAAGGAGAAGCGGCGCCTGGAGGCGGAGCTGGAGGCCGTGTCCCGGAAGACGCACGACGCCTCCGGCCAGCTGGTGCTCATCAGCCAGGAGCTGCTCAGGAAGGAGCGGTGCGTAGCCGGGGGCAGTGTGCTCGGGCCTCCGGGCCCCGCCACCAGCCGTCTCCCCTCTGCCCTGGCCTCACTCCACCTGACACGAGCCAGTCTCCTCCGGAGGTGGGCAAGGGTGGCTGGCGTTCCCAGGGTCACTGTGCTCTCCTCCGCTGAGCTCCGAGGAGGCCTCAGAGTCCTCCCTAACACAGTTCTCTCTCCGAGCAGAGCTTACGGGGAAGGCGAGTGGCTCCCACACTCCTTGGTCTTCATTGCTGCCTTTAAGCTCTTAAAACGTATTGAGGATTCCGAAGGAGCTTGTGTTTGCTTATTCTGTGTTTGTCATATTAGACATTAAAAGTGAGGAACGTAAAACTATTTGTTAACTCACTTAAAAGTAATAAACCAATTGCACGTCCCGTAAATAACATGCTTTTGATAAAAAGCGACTGTTTTCCAAAACAAAAAGATGTAATGAGACGAGGGGCACTGTTTAACATTTTTGTATTCCGTCTTTGCAGTGTGTTGTTTGGGTTGAAGCATAGAATGAAAATCTGGCCTCACAGTGGTTTGTAGTTAGGAAAGAGTATATTTTAATATTGTTTTCAGGTCATTAATATGTTACGTGACCCCAAGAAAAAAATTCATGGTATGCCCATGAGAAACGATAGTGAAAATAGTTTTGACCCAAGGATCCCTTGAAAGAGTCTTGGGGATCCCTAAGGGTTCCCCATGCCACACTTTGAGAACCACTTGGTTCCAGTTTATAGACATGGTTTGTGTAACCCATATGAGGCTTTAGGGGGAAAAGAACACCTAGATGAACATTTAAAAAGTCAGAAGATTGCACATAAAATCTAGATTTCTCCAGAAGTTCTGACAACAATAAGCTGACTCCCACCATAGTAACACCCAGTCCTCTCGGTGGACAGGGAGGTCTTGTGTCCCAAGCCGTCCCCCCCTCTTCGTTGTTTTACTTAACACCCGCTTCTGGGCATAGTTTTCCAGCCCCTGTGAGCTTTTGAGGTTCATCCTCTGATTTAAAGGAACCTTGTTAAAATGAAAACATCTTTTTATGAAGGAAGTGGTGTTTCTTCCCTTCCCCTCCTGGTAAGTCTGATGACACACTGGGACTTTCTGTGCTAGATTCGCTGTAAATTTAGCACCTCTCTGAAAAATGTGGCCCTTCCCGGGGGGAGGGAAACAGGTGCAGCTGGGGAACAGTCCTTCCCAGCATGCACTCCCAGCCAGCCGGGTGCTCCGCTGCTGTCTCGCTCCCCGGATCCTCCCCTGTCCAAGTCAAATATTTTATTCTTGGGGCTCAGCCCAGTCTTGCCTCCTCCAAGGAGTCTGTTTTCCTGCTATCAACGGGCTCATTTCTTCCTCTGTCCCTCACCACTTACTCAACTGCTACCTTCTTCTCTTTGGACATTTCACCCTGTCCAGTCCTTCTCGAGGCTTAGCTCTTGGCCCATCTCTTCTTTGAAGCCTTCCTTTGTTGAGTAGGTCACCACGAGCGAGCTCCCGCACGTTCCTGTCATGCTCAGGACGGGAGTGGAGGATCAGCTAGGAATACTTGGCAGATTAACCAGTAGATTTACTTTCCTTGCATAACAGAAACCTGGGAGTAGCGATGGATGACGGTCAGTAGCTAAACATATCAGTGCTAAATGACTGGTTCTCTTGGACTCTTCCTCGTGGTTGCAGAATGGCTGCTGGAGCTCCAGCCATCACATCCACAGCAGGAAGGAGGAGGAAAGGGACTTCCACTTTGTTCTCAACTCCCCATGGCCACCCAGTGAGGGAGTTTCCCTCTCCTCCATAGTAGTTGCAGGGAAAGGGAAAGGCTTAGGAGGCGTGTGTCCTATTCTCTAAGCCTGTGCCCACTGCAGACATTGCTCACTGACTGCCACACTCCTTTCCGCACAGCCTGGATGTGCCTGAGAATCCTTCTCATCCCAGTATTCCAGGCAGCTACTGCCAGCTAGTTAAGGGCTGACATAGGGAAGAAAACTCTACTGATTTCAGCCATTCTTGCTTCGCCGAAACTGGTTTGGCTCAGTGGTAGAGCATCAGTCTGTGAACTGAAAGGTCCCAGGGGCATGTACGTTGGTTGCAGACACATCCCCGGTGGGGGGTGTGCAAGAGGCAGCTGGTTCATGTTTTTCTCTCATCGATGTTTCTAGCTAGATCTCTCTCCCTTCCTCTCTGTAAAAATCAATAAAAATATATTTTTTATAAAAAGAGTTAACACTCTGAACAAAATGTCTTGCTTCATGGGTGCCCTTGGATGAGTATTTTGTTTGCCTTGCTTAATTTTTTAGTTAAATACATATTCTCTTTATTTAAAAAATAAACAACTTTAAAAAACATTCTAGGAAAGGCCAAGTCCTCTCCAGTGTTTTGTCCCTAAATCCTGGTCCCTCCTGGGCTGTGGTTGAATGATTTCACACCTCATGTTTCCACACTGGTGCTGTTTTAATAGCCAGTCTCCCCTGCAGAGTGGCCGTGTCCAGGCATCTGGCAGATGGCTGGAGTGTGGGAGTGACTGTAGCTGTTCTTTGCCCCTCCTCTCCTCCCCCCAGGAGCCTGAACGAATTGCGGGTATTGTTGCTGGAAGCCAATCGCCACTCCCCAGGGCCGGAGAGGGACCTGAGCCGCGAGGTCCACAAGGCTGAGTGGCGGATCAAGGAGCAGAAACTCAAGGATGACATCCGGGGCCTTCGTGAAAAGCTGACGGGGCTGGTATGTGGGGGGCAGGGAACGCTAGGGTGGGACTGAGGCTGCCTGCCGTCGGGCCGGGGTAACGGTAACCTCCTGGAGCCATCCCAGGAACCGCCAAGCCCCAGAGAATTCACAGTCCCCTAAACCACAGGGTCAGGGATGCAGCTGGAGCAGGTCACGGGCAGCTGCTTTTGCAGCATCGTGGCCTCTGCTGTGTGGCAGACTAGGGGGCGCAATGCTAAGGAATGCTGTCTAAGAATCTGACCTGCCGAAACCGGTTTGGCTCAGTGGATAGAGCAGACTGAAAGGTCTCAGGTTCGATTCCGGTCAAGGGCATGTATCATACCTTGGTTGCGGGCACATCCCCAGTGGGGGGTGTGCAAGAGGCAGCTAATCGATGATTCTCTCTCATCGATGTTTCTAACTCTCAATCCCTCTCTCTTCCTCTCTGTATATAAAATAATCCTTTAAAAAAAAAAAAAAAAGAATCTGACCTACCCGGAGGTAAGGTGGGCTCTGCAGGGTGGTGAGCTCCCCACCCAGAGAAGTAATCAACCAGGAAGGGCCCTGCAGGGGGGGTTCACACATGAGTGTCAGGAGGAAGGGGGCGAGTTGGTGTAAAGGCGGGTGTGTCTCCAGAGACCATCATGGGTGGGGCTGCCGTGTCCTGCTGGGTAGGGGAGGGGCAGTAGAGAAGTCACTATAGGATGGGGTCTGGCGGTCAGGAGGAGGGACCCACATAAGAGTGTGGAGGGAGTGGGGAGAATCAAGAAGGAGAGAGGAAGGCGTCTGGATTTTGCGACTTGGAGACTTGGAGCATCTGACAGCGCCTGCTTCAGTGGGGACCCTCAGGGGAGGGGGGGCTTGGCCCAGCGATGGGGTGGGGCCAGGAGGACTTCCTGCCTGGAGGAGGCCCCCCTCCCCTCACACACATGCACACTGCACCCTCACGCATGCTCTTCCTTTCTCCGGCCACTTGTAGGACAAAGAGAAGTCGCTGTCGGATCAGAGGCGCTACTCCCTCATCGACCCGTCCTCGGCACCTGAGCTCCTGCGGCTACAGCACCAGCTGATGAGCACAGAGGACACGCTGCGGGACGCCCTGGACCAGGCTCAGCAGGTGGAGAAGCTCATGGAGGCCCTGAGGAGCAGCCCCGACAAGTCCCCGGTGAGCCATGGGCCAGGGCTGGGCTGACCAGGCAAGACAGTGGCAGTGTCCTCATGGAGCATGGCCCTGTCCTGGGAACCCCCATCGTGAGGGGAAGGCGGCCCTGTCCGCAGAAACCTGGTCTGAAGCGGGAGGCAGCTCTATCGATCCTGGGAACCCTGGTCTAGGGGGGAGAGACAGGCATGTGCTCTGAGAACCCCAGCCCAAGGGTACATGGCTTTGCCATGAGGACCTCAGACCAAGGGGAGAGATGCAACCTTGTCCCCAGAGCTTTGGTCTGTGGGTCCCGGGACCCCCATTCCCAAGAGCTCTGATCAGTTTGGAGCCCGAGACGATCCTATCAAGAAGACATCGCCATCTAGTGGACGAATGAGGAACTGTTGTCTGGTGAGCCTCACTCGGCATCTGCCCATGACTCTTGCAGGCCATTGGCAATTCGGGTTCTGCGAACGGCATCCACCAGCAAGACAAGACCCACAAACAAGAGGTAAGGAGCTCTCGGGTCCCGGGGAACACTGTGGCACTCCACTGCACTCCTGCACAGGCAGGAAAACCTGACAGATCACCAGAAATGCAAACAAAGATGCATCGTGCAAAGGCTTCACAGTAGGATCTCTCACAGAGGAACCCACGCAGTCCACCTTAATTCAGAATTCCTCTTGCTTTTTAACCTTGTTTCCCTGTTTTTAAAAAATACATATTTATTATAAAGTAATGCATGCCTCTTGGGAAACTTTTGAGAAAAAAACAAAAACATATAAAGAAGAAAATACTAGTAGCCCTTTTACTCAGAGGTGACCAACGTTAGTGTTTGTAAGTGGTAGCCTTCCTGAACTTTCCTAAGTGGGTGTGTGTGTGCGCACACAGATATGTACAATCAAGCCTCATTATTCACAGATTCCATATTTGCAAATTTGCAACTAAAATGTGTTTATAACCCCAAAATCAATATTTGCAGCAATTTTGTGGTTGTTTATGGACATGTGCAGAGCAGAGAAAAATCTGGGTTGCCTGACCTGCATGTTCCCAGCCGAGGGGTACAAGGCTGCTCTCTCCCTTCTCGGTTCAGCTCTCATTCTGCAAACCTGTCCTTTTTGAAATATAATGCCACCTTTTCCACATTCTTGTGATTTTTACTTGGTGATTTCTGCTGTTTACAGTGACCCCCTAATGATGGCTATGTGGCCTACAAAGAAAATCTGTGTGTTTAAATCAGCCCAGATGATGTGATTCAATAGTCGAGTGTCAAACTATGAACCATGGAGATCACAGTTCGATTCCAGGTCAGGGCACAGGCCCTGGTGGCAGGCTCGATTCCCAGTGGGGGCATGCAGGAAGCAGCTGATCAGTAACTCCCATCATTGATGTTTCTCTCTGTCCCTCTTCCCTCCTCTCTGAAATCAATGAAAATATATTTGAAAAGTAAATAAGCTTTGTTCAGGCATGAATTATACAGTAAGTCCTCACTTAAGGTCAATGATGGGTTCTTGGAGATTGCAACTTTAAGCGAAATGACATATGACAAAACCAGTTTTACGATTAGCTAATTGATATAAACAGGAGGTAAGTTCCCACGGCATATTTCTGACCACAAAAAAATCACCAAACTTCTACATAAAGACCCCAAACACTTGTAATATTAAACATTGAGATAAATGTGAGCTGTACAGACACTTAAGAAGAATAAAAATAGGTAAGATCATTTTATTCCAGCCTGCGTATTCCAGGTCAGGGTCATAGATGGCTGGGTCTCTCCCAGTAGCTCAGAGCACAAGCTGGGATCTACGTAGACAGGACGCCCTTCCATCACAGTGACACTCACACCCACACCCACGTGGACTGGGACAGTGTAGGCACGCCAGTTTGTCTCACATGCAGGTCTTTGGAATGTCGGGGGAAGCCAGAGTCCCCAGAGAAAACCCATGCTGACACGGGGAGGATGTGCAAATGTCACACAGACAGTGGTCCCAGCCAAGAACAGATTTTCCCCCGTCACCATTAGAACAAAGCGATGTTATTCGAAGACCTGCTGTACTGTTGGCCTTGGGTTGTTAATGAGTGGGCAGCATGTGTTAAATAAGATGTCTGTACACAGAATCACACATAAAACACGGCTATGTATGATCAGTTGATTAAAGCGTCCTGATCAGAGGTTTGAGGGAACCTAAACCCATATTTCCGCCGGGAGCAGTGGCTCAGCATTCGCTGAGTGCAGGTGATGACTTTATAGGACTTAACTACTGTGAATAATGAGAAGCTGTTTTATGTGCATGTACATATATATGCATGTGGGTAAACATTAGCTTTATTTGGAAATCATTTCAAAATTACCAAAAAATTGCAAGAGTAAAAATAGCACCTAGCATGTCATCTGCCCTTTCCCACGTGGCATTTGTAAGCATGTTGCCCTGTGTGTTTCATCCCTTGCTCTCTGTGTGTAGCTGTGTGTGTGTGGTAAGGCCTGTAGTTTTTTTCTGAACCATTTCAGTGTAATTGCAGGTCTTGGCCCTTAACACTTGGGTCTGTATTTCCTGAGTAAAAGGATATGATTATACATAACAACAGTACAGTTATCAATTTCAGCAAACGGAACGTTGATCTAAGATTTATATCCATTCTACTCTGCATACTCATTTCCCCCTCTGTACAGGATTCTCCACAGGTTAAGTTAGCTTATTGCATTTAGCTGTTATGTCTCGTTCATTAGTCTACTTTAAACTGGAACATGTTCTTGATTTCTCTTTGATTTTTATGGCATTGGCATTTTTTAAATATAGTACCTACCCCTTTTAGAAATATATACACTGAGCGGCCAGATTATTATGATCTCTCAATGCATAATAATCTGGCCACTCAGTGTATATTCTATATAATAAAAGGCTAATATGCAAATTGTCCTCTCAACCAGGAGTTTGACCAGCAGGCAGGCTGGCCTGCCCATGTTCCCTCCCCCTGGCCAGGCTGGCCGGATCCCACCCATGCACCGAGCCTCATGTACACACACACACACACACACACACACACACACACACACACACATACATACACTGAATGGCCATATTATTTTGCAATCAGAGATCATAATTATCTGGCCACTCAGTGTATATTTGTATTGATTTTTAAAGAGAGAGGAAGGGAGGGTGAGAGAAACCGATGCGAGAGGAATATCAATCAGCTGCATACTGCATGCCCCTCCTCACTGCATACCCCCCCCCCCCACTCCTTTATAAATAGAAGATTCCTCATTTGGGATTTGCTGGTAGGTCCCCATGATCTGAGCTAGGTCCTGCATCTCGGGCTGGACCACTTCGTCAATGCCATGTGTTCAGCATCCCGACTGGGGACATGATATCCATCTGCCCTTCTCTTTTGATGTGAATTGCGATCACCTCATCAAGGAGTTCTCTGATTTCTCCACTGCATAGTTATTGGCTCTTTTTAACAATTAGGCTGTGGGGACAGTAGGGCCATGTGAATACCCTCTCCTCGCTGAGCCCCTCCCCTGGAATTAGCATCCTGGGTGACTTTAGCCTGAGCCAATCTTTACTGTGATGGTTGCAAAGCAGCACATACATCATTTTAATAGAGTAAGTCTCACACTGTATTCCATTTCTCCTCCTGTATTTTTCACTGAATATTTTAAACACAAGCATGTTCTCTCTTCCTTAAGCAATCTGTTAAGCCTACGTTTTGTAACATTATGGGTATAAAATTGGTTTTCTAGAACTTTGTGGGCCTGTGGCCCCTGCGATTGTCATGTCTTTGTTAGACTGTTGTGTTTTAAGAGGTAACACCCGCTTTTACCCACAGTGTAATGGGCACCCATCTGGGGCCCAGATGCCAGCCCAGTACAGGCTCTGTCTCTGGTTTGCCATGTGACCTTGGGCAAGTGAGGCTGGAGGAACTTGTCCTCCACCCCAGACAGGAGAGCCCCTGGGCACACGTGCTCACCTGGAGAGAGGACCTTGGACATAGAATCTGCCAAGGGCCAAAGAGAGAAATTGGGGGGAGAGGGGGCGCACAGAGCTGTAGGGGGAAGTGTCAGGGTGCTGATAGCCAGCCCGTGTGTGGTTTCATCAACCCTTTGAGACACAGAGTCATCCCAGTTTGCAGACATGAAAACCAGGGCTTGGAGTCTCGCCTCCAATTTTTATTTTCTTGGATCCAGCCTCCACACAGGAACTCAGGGCTCTGCACATCCACTTGCTCTAGCCTCTTCTCCTCAACTTCCCCTAAGCAACCCCACCCTACCTCCTATCTCACCATTCTTCCACACACAGCAAAGAGACTTTTCTACCCCAGGGCCTTTGCCCATGCTGTGCCCTCTACCTGGCACCGGTGGTTCTCCTCCCCCAGCCCCTCCTTTTTCACCTCCTCGCCTCTGCCACTTGCTGATCAAGCCCTTGCTCTCTCCAGGACAAGCACTGACCCCGAGGGCCATTATGGAGCAGCCCCGTCTACACCAGAGCCACTCGTTTCTGCCCCAGCGGCGCCCCCTCCAGGCAGCGGCCAGGACTGTTACTTTGGAGACAAGAGCAGTATTTGTAACAATAATGTACCTACCGTCTGGACAATCCCCACCCTCAACCCCCTGCCGGACCAGGAGGCTTCCTCAAGCACGAACTTCCACAGAGAGCGGTCCAGCCCGCAGCCCCGACGTCTGCCCAGGACACCCAGCAGCTTCTGGAGTTCGTGTGGGGGGCCGAGGCTCTCCGACCAGCCCCTCTCCCCACAACCAGCTGCTGGGGACCATCTTGGCACCCTGAGCACATCCCCACCTTCCCTTTTTCTCTTCCTTCTCCAGGGTCCCCCTCGGGTTCCAGAGAGCCATTGTCCCAGGAGATGGTCCGAGGAGGCCCGGGGTCTCCTTGCAGGCACCAAGGAGCGAAGCCCGGGCCTCAGGAGCCACTACGACCCCCTTTTCTGCAGCCACTTCCAGGCAAGGCAGTGCCCAGGGTGGCTCATCCCCACAGCGTGAGCCTCCTTCATGCACTGGGACAAGCTCTCCTTGGCCTGTCTGCCCAGCGAGGCCCAGGTTCAAGGTGTTGGGGTGCAAGGTCCTTTTCCCCCAACACCAACACACACACACAACTCCAAGCTGCTGGCCAGAGGCTGGCCACCAAGGCCAGGAGCACAGTATTAGGAGAGTGGGAGCCCCGTCCTCACCCCCACATCGGCCTGGCTTGCAGCTGGGGCAGGCTGGCTGCAGGGGCATTCCGACCAGTGGTCCAGGCATCTTTTTTTTTTTTTTTAATATATTTTATTAATTTTTCACAGAGAGGAAGAGAGAGGGATAGAGAGTTAGAAACATCGATGAGAGAGTCATTGACCAGCTGCCTCCTGCACACCTCCCACTGAGGATGTGCCCGCAACCAAGGTACATGCCCTTGACCAGAATCAAACCCGGGACCTTTCAGTCCGCAGGCCAACGCTCTATTTCCTGAGCCAAACCCGTTTCGGCGGGCCAGGCATTTTTTAACCGGTCTGTGATTCGGTGTCCCCGGGGCTGACAAGCTGTCCCAGAACTGGGCCCCCCACCTGCAGGGGCACGTGTGCGCACCCTGACGTACACGCCCACTGACCCTTGACTCACGCACACTCACGGGGGTCACACACGGCCATGCAGGTGGGGTGTTTGCAACAGCCATGCTCAGGCCACACAGGTGCCCACACTTGGGCTCCAGGACTGAGCCCCAGGCCACACACACCACAGACATTCCTGCAACCTGGCGGTGCACGCACACACCCGGGCACACACGGGGAGTGTTCAGGGGGGTCTGTGCCAGGCACAGGCATCAGAATGCACAGGCAACATCAGCCCCTTTCGATCTTACCAGGCACCGGCCCGGAGCCTTTTAAGCCTTGTCTCCAGAAAAGGAACCTAAGGGATGTAGTTGGCAAGAAAAAGCTGAGCACCTCTCCCCCTCGAACCCCGCTGAGTGTCTCCGGCCTGTGTGCGGCAGGAGCAGCCAGCTGTGGTCCGGCAGTGCCTGCCTCTAGAGCTGGGGGGGCCCATAGGCCATGGCCCTGTGCCGCAGCACATAGTGGCGTTCCCAAGATGCACCAGGACGGTGCTCCGAGGTGCAGGAGGGTGGTGCTCACGGCCTCGCCGTCAGCCTCGCCATCGTGGGGGCAGCCAGTGTGTCCACCAGCCCCCTCGCCCTCCCCGTCGGCTTTTGGTAGCTCTCGCATGCTGTTCCATTAACAACAGTCTAGGAGCGATGTCCTAGTGGCCTAACCCAGCGTTAACACTACTCTTCCCAGCGAATCCAGGCAGCGGCCTCCCCAAGGAGGCGCTGATTAGTCTACTAACAGCCGCAGGCCGCGCCAGAGAGCTGAGCCCAGGTGGGTCTGCAGGCGGCGGGTATCCAAGAAGCCTTCCCGGCCCGAGCATCTCCGCCTGACCCTGTGGACTCAGCCACGCCCCTGCCACGTCCTCCCCACACCCGCCTCTCCCTCGCCCCAAAGTGGAATTGTTGAAGTGTGGCAAGTCCGTGCTCGAGACAATAAAGCTTGTGACTGAGGTCCAGGACCTGTGCCGCTGTCTGCTTCTCTGTCGGTGCCCTGGGCCCCCAGCCTCTCCCAGCTGGCGGGCACGCCGGTGCCAGGAGTCGGTCTTGGCCCTGAACCTGGTGGGCTGCCTACTGCGTGGTCTCGGGTGTGGATGGCTGGTGAGGACCTCACAGGCCTGGCGTTGAAGGCACCGGGGCTGAGCTGCCTTGTTTGGGTTTGAATCTGGGCCTGGGGAGGATCTGGTTTGCAGCAGTTCTGTGGGAGGCGGAGGTCTGAACTTGAGTCTGTTGGAGTTATGAGTGGGCCTGCAGGAAAGGAAAATCTCCCGCCCGATATGGGATGGATCAGCCAGCATCAGCTTGCTGGGTCAGGTGAAGACACTTTCCAGCTCAGAGCTCGTTCTGTCCCACAGCAAGCTGTCTGTGGGTCACACGAGCAGCCAACGTCTGCGGCCTGTGGTCCGCTTACAGCCTTTGCCCTGAGGTGGCCTCCCCAGGAGACAGCAGGCCCTCGAGGTCCCCGCTGAGGGTCCAGGAGCACCCTCCGTTTCTCAGGAGCTGCATCGGCAGGGTCCCCGCATGAGCCGTGGGACCTCCAGGGGGGACAGGACCTGAAGGGACGGGCCGTGTGTGCAGGTGTGAACAGGACTAAGGTAACCCACAAAGGACTCTGGGGAGCCATTCCTACCCAAAGGGCAGAGCAGAGGGGCTGTGGCTGGAATGGGGCCAACGTTGCCGCTGTGGGGGGAGCCCAGCAGTGGGGTGGCCCAAGGGGCTGCCCTCCTCCCGCCCTCCCGATGCCTCTCCAGTTAGTTAAACACGAAGCCAAGGCCAGGGGCTGTGGGGGCGGGGCTGAGGGCGGATGGGCGAGAGGCCAGCCCTGGGCACAGCCGGGAGGGAGGGAGTGCAGAGCGGGTAGGCATGGAGTGCGATCAGCACAGTGCCCATCACAAGACAGATTCAAACAGAGCCCCATTCTCTGGGCTTCTGCTGCCTTGAATATAAATGGTCTCTGTCCTTCCAGAACTTTCTTACCAGCCCAGCATTTGCAATTCAAAGAGCTGCTGCTGCGAACAAGGTTCTCTCCTCTTCAGACCAAACACCGCTGTGGCCTGTGGTTTCTGGCACCCGCGTCAGGCGGCACCCAGTCACTTGAGGTGATGACGCCAAATATGCCCCCCCTCTCCCCTCCCCGCCCCCATCCCACCCCCTCCGCCCCCCGGACCGCTTGCTGCAGGAGAGAAGAGAATGAGCTCAAGTCGGTGGGAACGCGGGGCCAGAGGCTGCGGTCAGAGACCAGCGAGGCCCCTGCCCACCTGTGGCTCCCGGGCCAGCAGGCTAACTCCGCGCCAGCCTCTGCGGAAAGGGTGCTGGGCGGGGGAGGACGGAGAAGAGGAGGAGACAGGACTGCCGAAGGGAGAGGGGGCTGCCTCTCAGGTGGGCAGGACCTCCCTGCTGTCACCGAGGCTGCGGGGCCAGAACTGGAGGCCAGGCGGCCATGGGCTTGGCTCTCAGGGAAGGAGCTTCCTGAGCCAGGAGCTTCCTGCGCTGTCTCCCAGAGAGCTCACCCAGGAGGTGCTGGGGTGAAGGACAGCACCAGGAAGGAGGGGAGGCTGGGGAGGGGGCGGTGCAGGGTGGCCGTGACAGCCCACCACCCAGAGCAGCCTTCAGCAGCTCCGGCCGGAAGCCCCAGGCTTACGGTGTGGCCACTTCAGGGAGGTCTGCACAAAGCCAAGGGTCTGGAGGGCAGCCGCCACCCTTCAGAGCGGTAACCCGGGGGGGGGGGGGCGTCTCTCCCAGGATCAGCCTGGAAAGAGTGGCCCTGGACACCCCAGGTCCAACCAGCCCGCCACGCCCCGGCTGTGCGGCCAGGCCCGCTGCTCCCATAGCCTGTGGGATGGAAAACACAGACCGATCTCAGGCAGCTGGGGTCCAAAGGATGGGCGCGATGGGCTGACCGCACGTGGGTCGGTGTCCCAGAGAAGCCCTTAGACCAGCGGTCGGCAAACTCATGAGTCCACAGAGCCAAATATCCACAGGACCACGATTGAAATTTCTTTGGAGAGCCACATTTTTTAGACTTAAACTTCTTCTAACGCCGCTTCTGCAAAATAGACTCGCCCAGGCCGTGGTATTTTGTGGAAGAACCACACGCAAGGAGCCAAAGACGAACGGCTCAGCCCAGTCTCCCAGCCTACCGGGGAAGTTGCCTGTTCTCCATCCGGGGTCCCCACCCCAGCGTGGTGGGCCCCACGACAGTCTGTTGGGGGGTCGGCAGATTGCTCACACAGCGTGGAAGGAGCCCGGGAGCTGGGTGCAGCCCCTCACCCCTGCCCCGGCTCCCCTGCACTGACAGCTCAGGAGCGCCCACAGGTCAGGGCTTGCCTTATGCTGGGATGGGGCTTGGAGCCAGCCACTCGGACAGGTGTCCCCACACCAGCCCTGCACTGACTTTTCTAATTTTTAAATTTTCAGATAACTTCTGACTTAAAAGAATTGCAAAAATAGCCAAAACCGGTTTGGCTCAGTGGATAGAGCAAGGATTCCGGGCAAGGGCATGTACCTTGGTTGCAGGCACATCCCCAGTGGGGGGTGTGCAAAAGGCAGCTGATCAATGACTCTCTCTCATCGGTGTTTCTAACTCTCTATCCCTCTCTCTTCCCCTCTGTAAAAAAATCAATAAAAATATATTTTAAAAATATTTTTTTAATTGCAAAAATAGTATAATTCCTGTGTACTCTTCACCACCTTCCCCTCCCGTTCCTCTCTTGCACAACCACAGGTGAGTGACCCCAACTAGAAAACTGGCATGGATAGGGCACACCTGGTGAACACACATGCTTTGGATTTCATCAGTGATTCCCCTGATGTCCCTTTGTTGTCCCAGATCCCATCGAGGGTCCCACATGGCACACA